TAGTGCTTTGGGGTCAGCATCTCCGCTCAGCCTGCTCAGAGGCAATCAGACTGTGCTGTGTGCCTTTCCTGAGGAGAGAATTGTGGAATCCCAGACTGGTTTGGAGTGGAAGAGACCTTATATCCCACCCAGAGCCACCCCAGCCATGGGCAGGGACACCTCCCACTGTCCCAGGCTGCTCCAGCCCTGTCCAGCCTGGACTTGGACACTGCCAAGGATGGAGAATCCACAACACACGGATAAGCCAGGGTACTCTGATGGCCACTGTTCTCTAATTGCTGTTTCCTCCCTGTGAAGGGTGACAGGGGAGGCTCTGCCAGCCCTAAAGGAGATGTTCTGTACAGGATGTTTCTGGAGGGATCACAAAGCAGGATCCCTCTCCTGGATTAACCCTGAATGTCTCCCTAAACAGCCCCAGGGCAGTTTCTGCAGGTTTAGAGTGTTCAAGGCAGGTGAAAATCTGAAGTGAAATAAAAGAAGAACTTCTCACTCTCCCACCTTTTCCCTGCTGCTCTCCTCCTGGAGAGGAGCTGGTTTATGGAGCAGCTCTTACCCAAAGCATGCTGCCTTAGCTTCAGCCACGGTTTAGCAATGGCCAAGGCACAAGATGAGCTGTTTCCAGCCAGCTTGGCCCTGCTGAAAGATGGGCACAGGAACAAGTGGCTGTGCACAGAGACTGTTCTGTGCTCTGCAGCCCCGGTGAGCCAGCCAGGGGCTGTGCCAGCTCCTGCTCACGTGGGGTTTGTCACTGCCTGCCCTAGAAATCCTCTGTGCTTCCAGCCACGGGCATCCTGAGCTCTTACAGCCCAGCAATCGCTGCAGGCTGCTCCCTTTGCATGTTCAGACCTTGCATTTGGTGGGGAAGGGGCAGAGAGGGAGGTTTAGGAAAGAGATCAGCCACAGAAGTTTGTTACCCAAAATGAGGAAAATGCCAAGCACATCAAGCTCTGCACAGGGGCAGAGACACAGCCCTTGTGAGGCTCTGGGTGCTGCCAAGACTGCGATATTTCGGCAGTGCTGAGCTGAGTGCTGTGCTGGGTTCTGTGCTGTGCTGGGAGGACACTGTGGATGGGCACGGATGGTTCTGTGCAGTGTGCAGGAGCAGCCCATGGGGTTGGGTCAGTGCTGCTTTAACACACTGTCCTCTCCCAGCTGGAAGGGGCAATTTTCCAGGGATGTGGAGTCCTGAGTGCACCTGCCTGGAAAGGAGAAGGCAAGGGAGCTGCAGGGTGGCAAAGGCAGCAGCAGAGACCACGCTGGGGATGTTGCTGCTGCTCTGGCTCAGATTTGGGCTCCAACAGGAGCTCTGGGATGTGAGCAGAGGAGGGGTGGTGTACCTAAAATACCCTGCCAGGAGGAGAAACCTTTCTTGTGCCTCAAGTCGGAAAAGGATTTGCTAATGTGCCAGTCTGCCTCTTTGTTGGGCTCCTAATTGGAGTTTTCTGCTGCAGAGGGTGTTGGGGACAGCAGCACCTCAGCTGGGCCCTGGGGAAGAGGGGCTGCAGCATTCCCACTGCTGCAAAGTGCTGTGGTTTGTGTCTGCCCTATATGGCAGGCTGTGCTAATCCCAGAAATCTGCCCTCAGGATTGCTCCGAAATAGCCCAAACCCTCCTTCCTGCAATCCTCTTACCATCTGGGAAGAGAGATAATTTCTCCCAGCCTGATTTAGTTAGTTTAGTTCCAAAGGCAGCCTCAACCTTGTGGATTTTCTGTGTGCATATGTTACCCTTTTGCCTGGAATAACTGTCTAAGCACGTGTTTGGATTTGAATATCCGACCAAAGGCAGACCCTAGTGCTGGCAGACTGAAATTTGTGATGGAGAATGGTGTTAAATTTTAAAAGAAAGTCATTAACTCCCAGGCCAACCAGCTGAATGGGCAGTTTGCTGGAGACTCCAACAAAACTGCGGGTTAAGGTCAGTCCTGGGGCTGGAATGTGAGGAGGGAAGTTAGAAAGAGTTGATTCTGTGCTGTTGGGAGCCAGGACAGAACAGGGCTGTTGCAGGACCATCATCTCTTCCCAGCTTACAATTTAATTTGTACCTTCCCAGACTGGATCTGTGCTCCCTTGGGACATTTATATACCGGTTTGGATCTGGGTTTCCCCCTCCCTCTGCAGTGGTGCCACAATCAGAGGCTCGTGGCAGCTGGGTCACAGGCTGGACGTTGCTGGAGAGGATCCTGTCCCTGCGTGGGAGCCATGGAGCAGCAGCTGGGAGAGCCGGGGCTCACGCGTGAGTGCTCCGCTGGCTCCCCCCGGCTTTGCAGCACTGTTCGTTCCCCTGGGGGAGGATGGGTGGATGGGGATGATGGCTCTGTGGGTCGTGGGAGCCAGATCCTGGTGGCTGGAGGAGATGGGGGTCTGTACCTCCCCCGTGCCTCTTGTGGGGGGCTGGAGATGCCCAGCTCCGCGCGGGATCATGTTTGATCTCAGGGATCTCTGTGCTGCAGGATGGAGCGGGCTTGAACCTCCTGGGTTTGTGTGTTAGGAGTGATTTCTGCAGCCAGCCAGCCTCAAACCCTCTGGGAGACCGGTGGGGGGAATTTCATGGCCTGGGCGAACCACAGAGACTCTTTACTATAATTTATTTATTATTATTCTGAAAGCCCTGTCCCCCAGGACTCTTTCACCCAAAGCTGTGAGACTGCCTCTTTAGCTGGAGAGACACAGCATTTATTACCGTCCTGTTTGCCTCTTAAAAGCCTTTTGCAATGAAGGCATGGAGAGAGGAGGCTTTGTGTGAGCCTGGGGAGCTCCTGGGAGACAGGGGGGAGTGTAAACACCTCTGTGTGCTGGGAGAGCTGCTGGGAGGAGCCACACAAATCATGGTGCTGGGATGCTGTGCTGTGCTGGGGACCAGGACACGGCAAGGCTGGGCAGGTACCACCTCTGCTCCCATTCCAGAGGTTCAGGATACCTGGGATTGTGGAGGGAATTGTTCGCTGTTTGCTCAGAGGGCTGCTTGGTGTTGTCTGTCCTGTGGGCTGAGCTGAGCCAATCCCAGATTGGTTTGGTTTTTCCCAGGGGCAAATAAAGCTTTAATTTTGTTGGGTGGCAGATGGAGATTGCTGGGAATGTCAGCAAATGGATTCAGCTGAACAAATGAAGGCGAGTTTTTGATTATTCTGAAAGTGCTTTAGAAGTGACCCTGGATCCCTGAGCAGTGATCCTGTGTGCTGGTTCCTGCTTGTCCAGGACAGCTTTGGCATCATTTTCCTGTGTCTGTGGAGCTCTGGCATCAGCAGAGCTGCTGGGGCACGTGGCCAGGGACAGAGGGGGACCGTGGCAGGGCTGTTCCTCAACCCTCCTGTCCAGGAGGTGACAGCAGCAGTGGCTGTGACCCCAGGGCCTCTCCATCTGCGTTATAAACACATCCATGAGAGAGGGAGCTTGAGCCATTGTGAGGTTTCTCTGCAGACCCCAGGGCTGGGATGATGAATCACCCCCAGACCCTCCCTGTGGGCAGGATGAGAGAGTATCTTGGAATATTCTTCAACAAAATTGAATCAGGCATGGAACTGGATGGCCTTTAAGTTCTCTTCCAACCCAGACCATTCTGTGATTCTAAACCTTTCATGAACACCCAGTTCAGGGCAGCATCTCCAGGGTCCTGACAGCTGCTTACAGATTAAGAAAGCCCTGACAGGACTGGTCATCTCTTTTAAATAAAGTGTGCTGAGCAGAGTCTCACTTGGTGTGTGGGGTGGGAAGGGCCACGGCTGCAGCTGGGGCTCCTGCCAGGGGTGAGTCCCTCTGAACCAGGGTCTGTCTCCTGCTGTGACACCCAGTCGGGTCAATTGCCATCGTTCCTCTCTCTGTGCTGACAGGGAGGGGCAAGGTGGAGCCAAACCCCCGTGGCAGGTGAAACAGGGGGTCCAGCAGAGCCTGTGGTGTCCCCGGTGTCCCTCTCTCATCTCCTGTTTTCCCTGGCAGGGACAGGGCAGCGTGCCCCGGTGCTGGAGCACCTGCCAGCAGTGACCAGGGGGTCACACCGGGCTGGACAACCGGGGGGCCGGGGGCGAGCCCCGGGGTGCAGGAGGAGGATCAGCCGTGCCCGGGTGAAAGGGAAAGGTGAGCCGGGGGTGCGGGAGGGGCTCGGGGGCTGCGGGGCTCAGCCCTGGCCAGGGCAGTGTGGAGGGGCCACCAGGGGCAGGGGTGTGGGGTGTGTGTCCAGCAGATCTTGTTCTTTATCATCCCCGAGAGTTCTGGGACAGCCCAGCCTTTGGAGAGGGGTTTTAACTCCCCAAAAACCTTCTCCATCATTCCTCCACAGCCTGCGGAGCTGCTGCTCAGCTCTGGTGCCTCCCGGTGAGGACCCCTCTGGGGTCCGCGGGGTGGGCAGGGCACTGTCCCCATGGCACTGTCCCCACCCTGGCACTGTCCCCATGGCACTGTCCCCACCATGGCACTGTCCCCACCATGGCACTGTCCCCATGGCACTGTCCCCACCATGGCACTGTCCCCATGGCACTGTCCCC